CTGAAAAGACACTTCTCCCACGAAGACATACAAATGGCCAACAAATACATGAAAAGATGCTCAACTTTGCTAGCTATTGAGGAAATGCAAATCAAAACTACAAGATATACCACCGTACACTGGTTAGAATGTCTATCATCAACATGTAAGTTAATAAGTGTTGGAGAGGTTGTGGAGAAAAAAAGAAGCCTCATTCACCGATGGTGGGAATGTAAGCTGGTGCAGCCACTATGGAAAGCAGTGTGACAGTTCCTCAAAAAATTAAGAATAGAGTTACCATATGATCCAGCAATCCATCTTCTGGGTACTTAACCTAAAACTTAGAAAACAGTTATTTTCAAGATGTAGGTACCCCTATGTTTATTGGAGCATTATGCATGGTGGCCAAGACAAGGAAACAATCACAGGGTCCCTTGATAGATAATTGAATAGAGAAGTGTGGCACATATGTACAATGCAATACTACTCAGCCATAAGAAAAGATGAAACATTGCCATTTGTGACAACATGGATGGACCTTGAGGATATCATGCTAAGTGAAGTAAGTGAGTCAGAAAAAGCTAAGAACAGTATGTTCTCACTCATATGTGGGATATAAAACTGGAACTCACAGACACAGACAACAGTATGGTAGTTGCCAGAAGAAAGGGGGTGGAAGTTAGTAAAGGGTAAAGGAGGCCAAATATATGGTGATGGTAGATGATTTGACTTTGCATGTAGGTATAAAATGCAATACATAGGTCATGTGTCATAGAAATGTACACTCGAAACTTGTATAATTTTATTAACCTACATCACCTCAATAAAGTTAATTAAAAAAAACAATGGTCTGACAAGTGCAGTCACCATGACATACCTCCTTGGCAGACGCATGCCACTGGTAGCTTTCCTCTTCTACAGTCCTAACTGACCCTGCATCACAAGAAATGTATCAGTATATGTATTATTTAAGTATCCCTGTGAGAGGCATAGATAGGGGGCATGTAACCTGGGAGATAACAACAAATGCATATACCAGCTCATACTCTGGAGTTCTCAACTTGAGAAAGATGCTTGAGAACTCTTGACAAATGCATTTTATTTTCACTAGCTATACTTTTTCCTGGTCTGTGAAATTATGATTCTAGGGTATGTGCAGGTTATGAAGATGCAGTATATTGTAGTTGGTATGTCTTAACATACCCAAATGTCATGAAACATCCAAGGAGTCACTGAGGGAGCAATGAATTATGTATTTTCTTGCCTGGAAGTCTGTTTTATCGACCAACAGACATTTCTGGAGTTCTGAGCCCCATTCTCCCACCCCATGATAAACATACTTTGCCTACCTATAGTATACATTGCAGAACTTGAAAAACAAAATCATACTGTGTCTCTCTGCAGAGACTGAAAAAAGCACAGGTGCTCAGCAGGTCTGGACTGTTTATTGCCATCACAATCACAAGATTGTGATGGCAATAAAATTGGGGTCAGAAGCCACAGCTGGCCCTTTTGTCTATATATTTTCTCCTTCAGAAACACAGGTCTGGTTTACTATTTTCAGTATCCTACATTCACTTTCTTCCTTTGACTGTCCTTGGCTCCCCTCCACTTCACTCTCCTTGATTCATCACCTCCTCCAACAATGCTTCAGCTAACATTTTCAGGCAGTGGACTCTCAGACCTCTATGCCCATATCTGGGCTGCTGTATTTCCATATCAGGTAACAGCACTGCTTCCTCTTTCATGCCGGAAACCTGAATGTCATCTTTGACAACATCAGCCTCTCACCAGATTCTTAAACAGTCCGAACTTGAAGAGGTGTAAACATAAAGCAGTTTCAGGTTTTTTTCAGAATCTCTGCCTTCAATGGTACTAAATTAAATCTTCCTTTCCCACTTCTTAAGAACATCTTGGGAAGATTCTATACCTTTTGGGGTTTTGTTTTTGTTTTTTTTCCCAAACCACAGTGTCATTCGATTTAAAACTCAAATCCAAACCCTGGCTGGTGTAGCTCAGTGGATTGAGTGCCAGCCTGCGTGTGAACCAAAGGGTTGCTGGTTCAATTCTCAGTTAGGGTGCATGCCTGGATTGCAGGCTGGGTCCCCAGTAGGGGAACAAGAGAGGCAAACACATATTGATGTTTCCCTCTCTTTCCCCCTCCCTTCCCCTCTATCTAAAATAAATAAATGGATTAAAAAAAAAGAACCACAACTTCTGCCAAGATGGAGGCATTGTGCCTTCTCACACAACCAAGTTTAAAAACAACAAAGTTTTAGCAACAAAAACACAGCCAAACCACAGAAAATTGAACTATACGGAAGTCTGACAACAACAAACCCTTCAGCCATACTGGTAAGAGGGGCAGAGCCAGCAGCAGAGCAGGGTCAGGCAGGAAAGATCCACCAGACCGACCCGGGCCCACGACCCAGGTACGCCAGCAGCCATGGGTGGATCCCAGGTGTGGAGAAGCGGGCGGACCCACTGAAGGCACAAGGTGGTAGATCCACTTAGGGCTGACCACAGTCACACATTTGCACGCAGATAAACCGGTGAAGAAGTGAGCAGTGAGACCAACCTCCGCAGGCCCCAGGGGCAGGAAGTGGCAAAGGGGACCACCATTGTCCCTCTCTGACCCAGCCCCCACATAAGCATCACAAACCAGCAACCTGGGTGGCCCCGCCCTGGTGAACAACTAAGGTTCCACTCCTCATATGTAACAGGCACAAACAGATCAAAACATGGCTCAAGAACAACTCAGAGCCCCAGAGCCAATAAATCTAAGTGATGAAGAAATATCCAAACTTTCAGATGCACAGTTCAAAACACTGGTGATCAGGATGCTCACAGAACTGGTTGATTTTAGTCATAAATTAGAGGAACATATGAAGGCTAAACTAATTGAAATGAAGGGAAATGCACAGGAAACCAATAGTAATGGAAAGGAAACCAATAGTAATGGAAAGGAAACTCAAATCAAAGGAGTGGACCAGAAGGAGGAAAAAAATGACCAAACAGAAAAGGATGAAGAAACAAGAATTCAAAAAAAGGGGGAGAGGCTTAGGAACCTTCAGGACATCTTTAAATGTTCCAACATCCAAATTATAGGGGTACCAGAAGGGGAAGAGGAACAGCCACCAGTGGAAAACTTATTTGAACAAATCATAAAGGAGAACTTTCCCAATTTGGCAAAGGAAATAGACTTCCAGGAAATCCAGGAAGCTCAGAGAGTCTCAAAGAAGTTGGACCCAAGGACACCAAAGCACATCATCATTATATTAGCCAAGATTAAAATGAAGGAGAGAATCCTAGAAGCAGCAAGAGATAAGGGAACTGTCACCAACAAAGGAGTTCCCAATAGACTGTCAGCAGATTTCTCAAAAGAGACCTTACAGGCAAGAAGGGGCTGGAAAGAAGTATTCCAAGTCATGAAAGCCAAAGACCTACATCCAAGATTGCTGTAATCAGCAAAGCTTTCATTTAGAATGGAAGGGCAGATAAAATGCTTCGCAGATAAGATCAAGTTCAAGGAGTTCATCATCACCAAGCCCTTATTATATGAAATGTTAAAGGGACTTACCTAAGAAAAAGAAGATAAAAAAGATGAACAATGCAAAGGACAGCAAACTCATAGTTATTAACAACCACACCTAAAACAAAAGCAAACTAAGAGAACAGCAAGATCAGGAGCAGAACCATAGAAATGAAGATCACAAGGAGGTTTAGCAACAGGGGAGTGGGAGAAGGAGAAGGGGGAGAAGGTACAGAAAATAAGTAGCATAGACAGTAGATAGAAAATAGATGGGGGGAGGGCAAGAATAGTATGGGAAATATAGAATCTAGAGAACTTGAGACATGTGGTCATAAACTAAAGGGGGGAGTTGTGGGGGAGGGGTTGTGCTGGGCTGAAGGGAATGAAGGGGGGGAATAGAACAACTGTAATGGCATAATCAATAAAATATATTTTTAAAAAACAACCCTCCCCCACAAAACTCCAATCTGAGACCTAGCCTTGTGCTTGATAACCTGGCCCCTGTCTACTTCCCTAAAACCTCTCTTTCCAGACCCCAATTCCAGTGGAATGATCCAGAATACTAGTCCTCTGTTTCCCGGAAATTTGCTGTGTTCAGTGTCTCCAACCTTTGCACATGTCTTCACTCTTAGGTGAATTGTATCTCTTAAAGTCTACCTTTTTAGTTCCCACTCCACCACAGCAGTCTCCATGAAGGCTTCTTGCCAATGCTGTAATCCTTCTCTTACTATTCTGGCAAAGTTGCTCACTGCTCCTTATTTTCTTCCCATTTAGTGGGTGAACCCACTTCAAATATTATACTTGGATAGTGTATTGCAATGTATTCATTTAAATATGTTTTCCTCGGTGGGTTGTGAATTGTGTGTATTGGGAATCTTGGACTCTGAGGAGCCTACTATAATAAATAGTTTTCAAAAATTTGGCCATAGATGCTACTATTGGCAAGATTAGTCTGCTGCTGTCACTTTGTTTTTATTTATCTCTGTTTCTTCATTTATATGTATATTGTTCCTCAATATCTGCAGGGGATAAGTTCCAGGGCCCCCCACAGATACCAAAGCCTGCAGATGCTCAAGTCACTTGTATAAAATAGCACATAACCCATACATATCCTCTTGTATACTTTAGATAATCTCTAAACTACTTCTGATACTGAATACATTGTAAATGCTATGTAAATAGTTGTTAGACTGAATTGTTTACAACAATGAAAAGAAATAGAAGTCTATACACATTCAGTTTAAATGCAATTATGGTAGGCCTACTGCTTGTATAGTACATGTCAGCAGCAGCATAACATTTAAATATATATATATATTTTTTTTTCATCCACCCTTGGTTCAATACATGGATGCTGAACCAATGGATTTGGAGGGCTGACTGTGTAACTTGCCATATTACTTCCAAGCATGTAGACAGGAAACTTATGACCTTGAACAAAAAGAGATAAAGATGATAAGGATGTAAATAAATTTTTAGAAAAAAATACCTTTTGTTTTTCATGACTGATGGTTTCAATTTTCTACACGAAGTCGGTGAGTTTATCTGCTGAGATAGAACAGAGGGAGATTAGGAAAAGAAATTAAAAGTGTAGTAAAGAACAAAAATAGATTCTTAGAAAAATTAGACAAAGAAATTTGTTCTAAAATACATTGGAGAACATACATTCTCAGTGATAAAAGTTCCTGGTATTATAATTTTTTTCCTTAGAATTCTTTGGCATTCCAGGTGTAAGGATGAAGAAAGCAGGTAAAGGGACTGACCCAGAGCTGGTGTTTTGCCGAGTGGGTGTGAGGGGAGAAAAGTGGTGCTTGTAAAATGCAGATGCTGATGGAAAAAGTGTTCATGTAATCATGTGACTGGGAGGGCGGAGGGCAAGAGGACTCTGCTTACTAACATCATTTAGGCTTGTTTTCAGCTATGAGTGAAAGAAAACATTGCCAACAGTGGGTAAACAAATTGGCTTTGGTTTCACCACAGAACAAGGGAAACGGATATGGTCCAATGCTGCCATTGGTTCAGCGCCTCAATATTGTAAAAGTTTTGGCTATCTCCTCTATGGTTCTTTAGCTTTTCCCTCATGGGTATGAAATGGCTTCTAGAGCTCCAGGCGTAATACTTGCATCCCAAACAGTAACCAGAGGGAAGCTTGGCCACAACTCGCAGTTGTCTCATTATGTTTTTAGAAAAATAATTGCTTCCCCAGAAGCCTTTTCTCTCCAGAAGATACTGCTTATGCCTCATTTATCAGAACTGGCGTGCAGAGCCACCACTGGATGCAAAGTAGATGGGAGAAGCAGTAAAAGTCAAACTGTCCTACACAGGAGGGGGGCAAGGAAAAAGAAAGAAATATGTTAATGAAGCAAGGATGTCTTTCAAACCCACTTTTCATATAATCTTAGCAAAACATTTAAAAGCATGGATTCTGAAGTCAGAGTGCTGAGTTCTAATACTAGGTCCACCACATCCTATCTGTGTGAATCCAGGAAATTAATAAAATGATCCCTTAATGCTTCAGTGTCCTCACCTACAAACAAATAATAAAAGTCTCTCATAGGATTATGTGATGCCCAAAGATGTCAGCTTGTGTTTAGAACAGTACCTGACATATGACAAGCACTATGTAAGTTCACATCTGATTTTATCGTCGTTCCTACCAAAACCCTCATTGAGAAGGCTGCAGAAAGTAGGGAAAGTAGGGGCCAGTGAGAAGCAGCAAGGCCAATTGGAAGTAGCAAAACGGAGAAATTAAAAAGATTGTCTTTTTCTCCCTTCATCTTCTCTTTCATTCCTGTCCATAACTTTCTCAGAGTTCCGCTGCCACCTAGACAGACATCCACCACCCTCACATTGCACCAATCAGCCTACAAATAATTTTTTAAATCCTCACCTGAGGATATAGTTATTGATTTGAGAGAGAGAAAGAGAGGCAGAGACAGAGAGATAGAAATGAGAGAGAAAAAGAGAGAGATTCATGGTCTCCTGTATGGGTCCCAAACAGGGAGGGACCCTCAACCTAGGCATGTGTCTTTTTTTTTTTTAAAGATTTTATTTATTTATATTTAGAGGGGAAGGGAAGGAGAGAGAGGGAGAGAAACATCAATGTATGGTTGCCTTTTGTGCATCCCCTGCTGGGAATTGGCCTGCAGGGAACCCGGCTTGCAGCCCAGGTATGTGCCCTGACTGGGAATCGAACCGCGATTGTCTGGCTCGCAGGCCCGCGCTCAATCCACTGAGCTACAACAGCCAGGGCTCTAGGCATGTGTCTTGATTGGTATTCAAACGCACAACTTTTGGTGTATGGGATGGTGCTCCAACCAACAGAACTACCCAGCTAGGGCTGCAGATTTTTAAAAGTGTGTTTAATGTGTTCGGGGGCGGGAAAGAATGGTAAATAAACCCTGCTGTGATGATGCTTATCATTCAGTTGGAAAAGTGTTAAAAATACAATTAGAGAATTAATTGTAGTTCCTATGTGTCAAAAAAAAAATCAGCGTTCCATGAGTACATCCTAATCTTAGAGGCCAGAGAAGACTTGCCAAAGGAAGTGACATTCATGCTATGGCCCAAAGTTTGCAGAGGACTTAGTCAGGTAGAGAAGCGGGTTGGGACTGTACAGGGGAGTGGAGAGTTTCATGGGAACAGCAAGTGCAAAGACCTAGAGGGGGACGAGGGTTGTGTTTGAGAAGCTATGGGCCTCTGTCTTTCCTTTTTATCCCATTGAAATGTCTCTGTCAGGTGGTTCCCACTTCTTTTGCACTGTATCCATCACTATAAGTTAACAGGTAGTTAAACCCTAACTGCCCGGGCCATCTGCAACTTCACAATTCCCCTTTCCCAGTTTCCCCGAAGCAAAAAAAGACACCAATAAGTTGATATACACTGAAGTGTTACCTAGATATACCAATGCTTATTTCATAAAGAGTGACTTCTCAATAAGTGGGGATTTAGGTTTTCCAAATGGGAATTTCTTTTGCTGTGGGGAATTGGAGAGGTTATTTATGCCCAATAAAAATCACTTCATCTGAAGGTAAATTTGTAATTAATTATATCATGCATTTTGTCAGCAATAATGACATGTTGAACTTTATAATTTACTATTGCTGGAACATAATCATTCTTTATTCATGAACAGAATTAAGCATTTATAATATTTCCTTTTCCTGAAAATCAAAACTTTGAAACCCTGCTTGGAAATACAGATTTTAACCTTAGGACTTGACTGCATTAAATACAAAAGCAGAATTTTTTCTTTTCTTTATCCCCAAGCTTTAACTTACAATCAGATCCTCCTGCTGAACCACTTGCTTGCTTAGCTGCAATGTCCTTTTCTCTCTGCTCCGTAGCTCCCATGTAGCTGGTGAGTGCTGGGAGCTGACGCCTGCTGTCACTTTTATTTGCTCCTGTTGGAGAAAGACAGGTTTCAAATCTTGTAATGTCATGTCTGACCATAAATACATGATGCAAAAGCCACTTTTCTGAGTATCAAAAGGTTACAGAGAGCCTCGAGGACTCTAAGTAGCCAATGTGGATTCTTCAAGATGAACTCATTAAATTAACATGGAATGCAGAAGCATCTGTCAATATTATGCATGTTGTCTTTGACTGGATTAATAAAAAATTCATAAGTGTTCCACTTCAATTGTCTTTGCAAATTTAAGTCTCCTTTAAATGATTGTATTTTTTGTTTGTGTGGTTTACAGCTAAGCTGTTGTAATTATTTAGCTCCACTCCAGGCTATCAGCTTGCACTTCCTATTCATGACAGTTTATCCAATTGTTTCTGCTTTACTACAATTATCTGTCTTTCTTATAATGTATGTATTTGTGAGTTTATTTATATCTTGGCTTATTTCAAAATGATTTTGACACAGTTTAATAGATTGAATAGATTAATTGCTAGACTTTGTGATCATTTGGGTTGTTAAAAGGCTATTTAAAAACTTTCAATATTTTTGCTTGAAAAATGTAAATATTCCCTTCTGATTTAAAAAAATGTTTAATTCTTGCTAAAAATATGGCTTATTCAATAAGTTGGTTACATGTGATGCTGAGATGCAAGTCTGATTCAAAATGCAAAAGTCTATAACTGTTATCAAGGAAACCAACTGTCTCTTTTGTTGACTAGCTACTGGGGTACAAATTTGCTTCTTGAGAAATCTCTAACTGGAAGCTCATAGTCACACGGTCTGTCGGGGATGTGAATGTTTGTCCAATAGCCATAACTTCTTTTGTGGCAGCTGAGGCCAGACGCGTGCAACAGAAAGTCATTTCTCCAAGTGCATATAAAGAGTGTTGAGACATTTAAGCCCTGCTGGGATTAGCAGATATTCTAGAGACACTTGATTTAAATTGGTTTCATTTAAAAAGCAAATAGAATTGGCAATAGAGATAATCTGCAAGGAGCATTTTAACAGCAAATGACTGGGGACTGCATTTAAACAACAGCTTTTAAATATCCAGTGATGATAGTCAAACTTCTTATTAAAGCAGAATAAGAAAATTTAAAATCAACACATTACTGAATCATATCTAGATGTTTGTATTCATAAGTCCTAGATTAATGACAACAATGCCCAAATTGTAAACTACATGTTCTTTTCCCCACTAACCACATCAGAGGTAAGTTCAATTGATACAATTTTTCATTTGTTCAAGGAAATTTTATTGAGCCTCTAATATGGTCAGAAATCACTTGAATCATCATGGATATAGAACATAGTCTCTGTCCTGAAAGAGTTTACCAAGGTCCAGTGGTATAAATAGTCAAAATCTCAACCCTCCAAATGCATTGAGGTATATGCTATAACAAAGATATGAATGAGACATTATGAAAATATAAAGAAGCAGCAAGCTCTGAATGGTGTGGCTCAGTTGGTTGGGCATCGTACCACAAAGTGAAAGGTCTCTGATTCAATTCCTGGTCAGGACATATGCCAGGGTTTCAGGTTTGGTACCCAGTTACGGGGTGCATATGAGAAGCAATAGATTTATGTCTCTCTCTCTCACTGATGTTTTCTCCCTTTCTTTCTTCTTCCCTTCCCCTCTCTCTAAAAAGGAATAAACAAAATCCTTTAAAAAGAAGCAACAAAAAATAAAGGCACCTAGCTGTACCCAGGAGGAGGAAAAGAAGGACTTACAAAAATCTCATTAGAGGAGGCAACACCTCTGTTGAAATTAGAATAAGAATTTAAAAACTAGAGGAGCAAAGACAGAAAGGACATACTCCAAAACTACTTTTCATCTACTATTTGTTCTTGACATTACATATTAATTAATAACCATATATTAAAATAGACTATAAAGCAGCAATATATCAACAAATGTAGTATTTGATCAATTGTAAGAATTGGATCAAAGTTCAAAAGAAATGGCCCAGAAACTTTCTTATTGTACATAATTATATTTCTAAATTTAACATATGTTAAATGAAGTATTACAAACCAATGGGAGATGAAATAGATTATTAGATAAATTCTGTTAGAGAAAATATTTGGGGATAAAAAAACAAGATGATTTTTCCTATTATAACATATGCCAGAATTAATTCTAGATTAATGGAAACATTTGATATATAAATGAAATCATTAAAAAAACCTAGAAAATATGAATAATTTTTAACTCTTTCTAATGTGATAAAATATGATGATATATATTAATATACCGTACTTGATAAAAATCTCTATGTACAAAAGTATAATATTTAAAAGCAAATAACAAATTGGGAAAATTTCAGCAAAAATATGGCACAGTTTCATATACTTGTTATAAAAAAAATCCCAGTCCAATAAGAAAATCTAATATTCTAATAGGGTGGACAAAGAGAATGAGAACAATTTTTTTTATAAAATGAAGCATTTATAACTATTAAATACATGAAAAAATAGAGAACTTCTGGAAAGGCAGTGTTTTATAAGCTTGTGCTACAATAACAAAATACCATAGACTGTGTGGCTTAAACAACATTTATTTATCACACTTCTTGAGCCTGGAAAGTTCAAGATCAAGATGACACCATGGTCAGATTCTGGTAAGAATCCTCTTCCTTGCTGGTAGATGGCCGGCTTCTCATTGTGTCTTCATATGGTGAAAAGAGGAAAAGGAAGCAACTATCTGATGTCAATTCTTATAAGGCTACTAATCCTAAAATGGGGTCTCTACCCTCACAAACTCATCTAAATTTAATCGTCTCCCAAAGCCCAAACCTTAAAATACCATCACACTAGGGGCTAAGGCTTCAGCATATAAATTTGGGAGCCACACAAAAATTTACATAAAGACCATTGAAATTTATTCTTTGAGAAAATTAATAAGAACAGTGGTAAAAAATATTGAAATCAACTTTTAAAAAACTCTGTAAATTAACCAAAAGCTTGCAACGATGTGAAGAGAACTTAAAAACAACAGACTTTTGATAAGAACAGTGAGCTCTGTAGTGTATCAACTTGCCCTATTCCCATGTCCCTTTTCTTAGCTTCTTAGTAGCTTTGAAAATCAACAGCCTCAGAGATGTGGTACCCATGAAAACCAGTCACCTAGCAGACATTGGAAGACATACAAATAGTTTGGAACTCCCCCAACAGCTTTCAGAGAATTATCATTAGATCACCTGAATGGTAGCTTCCTGGGAAAGTCCATCTGCGAACCTAGTCCTTCTTTGACCTGACTCAAGTCTCTCTCAGTAAGGCTATCATTGTCCCCAGGGCAGTTATATAAAATGGTCAGCAACAATTGTTACAGCTGCATAAGTGGTAATACTTCTAGGAACAAACAAAAATTGACTAAAATATTTAGAAAGAAAATCTGGTGAATGGAAAGCACATAGGGGTTTTTGAAAAGCTTTGACTTATTTCTAGGGATGTAGAATGCCATCCCAAACACACATGCAATGTTATGTGAGTGCCCAGGTTCTATTCTTACCTCTTGCTAATCTTGAGGCTCTTCAAAAAGCTGGAAGTCAAGGCTAAGGCAGAGCTGTAAACTACCAAAGTGTTGAAGAGAGAACATAACAACCAAAAGAGCACCTGAGGAAAGGCTGGGAAACTTACTTGTTCAACAGATTAAAGAAAATCTGTCTAATTATTAGATGAGCACAATAAAAATTAAGCAGAGACTAGAGCAGCAATGCAATGCAAAGAACCTAAACTTTATGGACAGTCAGAAAAGTCAGAAAACAAAAACTCAGTAGAAACAACAATAATAACAGCTACAATGAGAACCAGTGAAAAGGAGGATTAGTGTGATTTCATAAGTTGCTACATTACATATTTAAAATATTGAGTTGTCAACAAAAAATTATGAGACATGCAAAGAAACAAATTATGGTTCATACATGGGGGAAAAGCTAACAATATAAAGTGTCCCTTCGTAAACCAAGATGTGGAATTTACTTGAAAAACTTTAAATAATATATTGTAAGTATGCACAAAGAACTTAAAGAAATCATGTCTGAAGAACTAAAGGAAAGTCTCAGAACCATATCTCAGCAAACAGACAATATTAACAAAGAGACTGAAATTATAAAGTGAAAACAAAAGTTCTAAAGTTGAAAACTATAATAATAAAGGAAAAATTTTGTAAAGAGGCTCAACAACAGACTCAAGTTGGCAGAAAAACAAAACAAAACATTTAACTTGAAGATCATTAAATTGAGATTATTCTCTCTGAGGAACAGGAAAAAAGAAAAAGAAATATTAACAGACATCAAAGACTTGTGGCACACCATCAACATAAACAGCACACACATAATGAGAGTTCCAGAAGAAAAGGAGAGAAAGGGGCAGAAGAAGTATTTGAAGACATAATGACTGAAAACCTTCCAAATTTGATGAAATAAACTTGTTTACATATCCAGAATCTCAAGAAATTCCAAGAAGCACTTCATATCCAGACACATCATAATCAATGTTGAAAGACAAAGACAAAGAGAGAATTTAGAGAGCATCAGAGAGAAGTATCTCATCACATACAAGGGATATTCTAATAAGAGTAACAGCTGATTTCTACCAGAAACTATGGAAGTCAGAACAGAGGGCTGACATATTCAAACTACTAAAAGAAAAAACTGTCAAGAATTCTATATCCAACTATTCTTTGAAAATGAAGAATTTAAGAAATTCCCCAAAAAACAGAAGCTAAAAAAAGTTATTATTAGCAGGCCTGTTTTATAAGAAATACTAATGGAAACCCTTAAGATGAAGTAAAAGGACAGTAATTTGAAACTACATGAAAAAATAAATAGCACCGGTAAAGGTAATTTAATATTGTAGCTAAAAGACAGCTGCACAAAGCAATAATTATAGAACGGTGTTCATTGGCTTATAGTATACACAGATATGATCTGCATGGCAATAATAACACAGAGGAGGGGAAGGGAATGGAAATATATTGGAACAGTGTTTTTC